TATTTTGAGTGGTTGGAAACGGTTTACAGGAGGCCTTTAACCTAAGTTTCTTCCTAGTTAAAACATATCATCAAAGAGAACCTACAGTTTTGAGGGAACTCAGGGGTAGCCTCTCAGACTGGAAAGCTGGATGAAATGGGTTAGTGTCCTATAGAGAGCGTCAATCCCCTCGTGATTTCACGTAACATAAGCTGACAAAAATCAACTAGTGTGAAAACTAGGTTTAGGGTATCTAGCAAACTATTGTTCTCATTCAATAAAACTATCCAAATTCCCATAAAAACATCTCCAGAATACTACTGGAACCAGTTCCGTTTCGAATGTTTGTGTCGTTAGGTAAACAATTCGCAACTTATCCAGCACAAAATAATTGACGCATTCTACATGATCCGCATTCGTCACTCAACATTGACAAGCAATTCACATATCGGATTGCTACCAATGATCGACATACGAGTACCAACAAGATTTTTAATCCACTTAATATTTACATCCGTGGTACAGAAGGTTTAATCTACCTACGTACGCACACTTAAACAGAAATTAAAATGAAAGTTACAGAATAACTATCTTTTTTCGAAGATGTTACTTTGCTGTCTATGTTATCATATGTATTTGGAAAGTAATAAATAAACCCACTCAATGGCCCTAAATATATACTGCACAAAAAAGACATCATATTTCTACCGAAAAACTAATGACTCAATAGGAATTAGTTTCAAAGTTTAGTGTTGACATCAATGGCCACTAGTTTGAAGTGAATCCAACTGGTTGGTTCCAAACTAAATATTATGTAAAACAGGGTAATGTATAAATCTTAGATTCCACAGGTAACCAATATAAAAACAGCATGAGAATGCAGATGATAACAAAGTGGAATCTACACAGGAAACTGGTTAATCAGAGGTCATAAAGAAATATAAATCAGTTAATTAACAGTCAGGGCATAGGAAATCCTTTACTGAATTTAACTCGATTTAAGATTAAAATGAGCTGGATTTCTGAAACTAATTTGAAAACAGGTTACCAAATGGTATTTTAAATTAAAACTGGTATTGAGAAATTGTGTTAGTCGTAATTAAAGTAATTCGATTCAAGTAATGTAGGCCGAGGTTCATAGATGTTCGGTAGTTGCGAAGGAAACATCAAATCAAAGTTGCAAATTAAGCTAATTAAAATAATTCACTGAAAAGCATGTAAGAGTATTGATAAAATCTGGGAAAATTCGAAACCAGTTTCTCAGACGTTCTCAATTTAAAATTCATTCACTCCGGTACTTACAGTAAATATGTGTACGTTTTTCTTGTGGATTAACATTTTAAGTGCATGATTATAGCTACTGAAAGGTTAATTAGTAACAAAGGAATTTTCGGAAAATAATTATGAAGTCAATTTTAGGGATTTACATTTTGAAGATATCAAGTTAGCTAATTTTCTGTTTTATTTAATATCATTTCTGAAGTAAATTTCATTATCAAAGGCTTTGACGAAACGCTTTGGTTGTCCTTCACATATTTTAATAAGACTGATTTGACATAACAGTACATTTGAAGTTCTATCAAAACAGTCGTAAACAAATTTCAGGGCCTGAATGTTAAGTTCATGTTTTTTTAACCCTCATCATTGAGAATTATCTATCTGATGTAATCTGGTTACTTTATTACCATAACATTGTATAATGAAAACTCGAAAGATAAATAAAGTCGTATTTTTTCATAAGTCATGAGATATTCCGGTCTTAGACTGTCTCATATGATTAGTACTAGTCCCAGTGATTAAGAGAATCACTGGTCTTACAAAACCACTGAATAATCCAAGCGTATGAAATATATACAAGCATTTTAAAAAATGCCTACGAAAAGTATTTAATGTCTGTTAACCGGATACCACCAGTAACACACTACTGTGAGAGAGAACAAACCAGCTTCCAGTTGATGAGAAAATTAAAAACGGTATTCGGAGGTGGATAGGACATACATCGTGGATATCATCAGACCGCATCACGAGACATGCACTAACTTGGAATCGTGAATGGAAATGGAGATGTGGAAGTGCAAAGAACACTTTGAGACGAGAACTGGAAGTAGACATGAAAAGTATGAATAGCAACTGGAGGCAAGTGGAAAGGATTGTTCAGGACAGATTTTGTTAGAGAATGCTGGTGTGTGGCCTATGTTACTGAATGAAGGGTATCAGGCATAACTAAGTATGAAATATACACCAAAAGTTCCAGCTCTGATAAGCTGAATACATACTGTTTGATCACTACCAAAAGTATAAAGCTGTAGGATAATATGTTCATGTACCAAGTAAGGTTACTTTGAAGAATTTCTTTAAAAACTAGTCAACTAATAGAGTTTTTTCTATTTCTAAACTAACAATTTTCAGGTATTCCCGTTTTTAGTAGCAACTTATTGGAATTTACTGTGTACTAATACTTTCTTGAAATAGTATCAGACTTCATTCGCTATTCCAGAACATAATCTCAATTAAAATATGAATTCAGTTTATCACGAAATTTGTTAGATAGACTACTTGAAGGATGTTAAATTTTAACAAGCCAAGGTCTCCACTCATACTTTGTTTGTCTTGATCATCCTATTATAAAGCCTGCTACTTAACTAGTCAGTAGGCAGTTTTATATCCTTCCTGTTCTTTTCTGTTGTATAAACTGACCAGGCATTATAAGGATACATCGTCTGTTAAATCAGACCACAGATCATACCACAAGATTTCAGATAAAACGTTAGTTTTTAGTGTAGAATCCTAGAGTAACGCTGATAGATATCCTTTAGGAAGGTATCTGAAGAGGTTTCTTAGGATGAAATATTCAATAATTCCATTCTCTCCGGTGAAATATATAGGAAAAATAAGAAATTCAGCCTTATAGTCAGCATTTGATATCATCCATATGAGTCAATCGAACCTTTAAAAAGATCTCACTTTAGACTGTTACACTGTGAAAGTACCAATCAAATACAGTTTGAAATCAGAATTTTATGAGGAATATAAGTTTCTTTTTTCTTACAGTCAAACGATAGATTACAGAGTCAGAATTTTTTGATTATCACTGTTAACAATTTCATTAATCTATAAATTTCTTTAACAAAAATTTCCATTTTAATACACAGTTGCATAAATCGTATAGTGAATTCGTTCAAAAGAACTCTCCGATTAAACTATTTCTTGCATAAATCTAAGGCGCGCGATCTTTTTATTTGTGACTCGTCGTTTGAATGTACCCACATCTCAGAGTTGGTATTCACTCCAAGATTCATACTTAGTACCTTTTACCTCAAACACCTTACATGATATTGAGTTAGGTACTGAGTTCAGATACCCACTCGCTTGAGCAACAAACATGAGTTTGTATTTTATTTTTGATGATATTAGATTATTCTGATATTGATAGTTTCGACTGAGTTTAAATCCCAGAGTGGATATCAACTCTAAGATACAGATACATCCGGTTGGACGAAACTTGCATACTTTAACTCACCGCTGACTACAATCCATACTTTCTATAAAACTTGTGAATTGATGGCTATATTGAGGCAATCGTCATAGGATCCTTATATACCAACCAAGTATATTTCGTTTACGTGTTTAACATTGAATGGAAATTTCATCAAGTTGTTGGCTAAGGACTATGAATAATTGAAGTTAAATTAATAGTTTTAAACAAAATTGCCCTCTGGAATAAAGTACTAGATAAAATAATTGCAACAAGTGAAACACCAACTACATTTTATTGCATCAATAAAAAGTATGATGAATTATTTATCATGTAACAAATTTCAATGATAATAGGAAACGATCAGCCATCTTTAGTATTATTGTATAATAGAAATGATAGACATTAGTATGGATCTTTCTAATTCATCTGTACAATTTCAACACAGGAAATTCTCTAATTTATTGAAATCATTTCTGCTGTATGGAGGGAGTGAATAATAAACCCCATGGAAGTAATAATGAGTTACTGATCGACTGATAAAAACTATGCTGTCATGTAATATCGTAATAAACTTCTGTCACTCACTCTCTCTCTTATATTCATACATTGTATATGTATTTCATTTATAAAAGAAAAAGACAATCGAAAAACTAAGAGTGGACAAAATAAAATGAATTCATTTCATTCCACAATGCTTGTAGCTTCGCCACATAAAATATGGATATTCAAACTAATGTTTATTTGATTGTTAATTGGCGTCATTATGTTATTTTCAACGAAGTTTTGCATTCTATTGTACTCTAATTAGTGACATTTCCAAATAAAATGAGAAAATTCATGTATCATTTATTGAGGATCCTACTGTACTGATTAATATCCGTTGGATAAGCTAATGCGTATCTGAACTCAGTAGCTCAGTGGATAATAGGTTGGTGTTTTTTTAACTAAATGGTAATGGGTTCAAGTCTGAATGTAACCATTAATAGCCATTCTCCAACTTTAATCATAATGCCTAATGTTATGAGTTAACTTCATATTATCAAAATTTCAAATTATCAGAAATAGGAAAATAATAAGTAAATAAACAATAAATAAAAATACAATGAAAGCCAAGGTTTATTTTCATTCTTTTTATACTTTCTAATCTAGGAGTACAATCAATTATCGTACTTTATTTCATAAAAATCTGGTAGATAGAACGGAGTCATGCATTTTTAGATGATTTAAATGAAATCAAACGATTGGTGAATAAATAGTATCCGTATTAACTTGTATTTCTGTTAAATAGTATTATCATCTACTATTTATATAGTTTGTATTATTTGGAAGAGTAAGAATGATGTGATATCATTTGTGTGGAAGTTAAGCTCAACTATTCTCTATTCTTCATCTACTGATATGTTATAAAAATATTAAAAATGTTATCAATGTATTTAAAACTTCGTATTGTTACAACTATTGAAGGATTTATTGGACTATATTAAATCTATTAACATTATTTATTGTATTTAAAACACAATTTGGTTCAAAATCTACAACTTTAATGTTAAGATTACAGACAATATTTGATTGTACTGCATGCTTTTTATATGCAATGTATTCAGCAACAGAAAATGAAAATTTACTAAATAATAAAAATCCAACTGATATTTCATTTATCAATGAATTATTATGTTATTTATGGTCATATAATATTGCATTTTGGTCTGGTGTTATATTAAGTGTTCAGAATATTGTATGTATTTCAATTGATCGATTAATAGCAGTTCTATTCCCAATTATTTATAAAACACATCAATTATTATTAATTATAATATTTATTACTTATCAATTAGGCATGATAGGATTATTATTTACACCAATAATATTTTTTAGACGTTTCGATAATGATACATGTATTTATGTACCTGGACCAAATGGTATTGATTCATCAACATACATTGCTTTTCGTGGATATACATGGTTATCATTTCAGTACATAATTCCAGTATTGATTATTACAATTAGTCATCTTTCAATTATAATAAAATTAAAAAAGAGACAATATCAATCTAAAACTCTTAGACCGATTGAAGTTTCATTACGGAATAAAGGATGTGAATTGAATGAACAAAAAAAGTTGATTAAATTAGTCCTTATAACAGCAATAATGTCTGGTCAACAAGCTACATTACATTTATATGAATCTATACGTTATTTTTTGACTATGTTAAATATTGTAATTTTTGGTTATGGTACTATTGGACAACAAATGGGTCCATTTTTAATAGTATTAAGTAGTTGTATTAATCCATGTATCATAATTGGAACAACAGTATCAGTACGTAGACGATTTTCACATTATCTGCATGAAATTTGGATAAAAATTAGACGGGGTTAATGCATTTAACATAATTTTCATAACATTCACATTATTTTAGACAATGTTATTCAAAAAACGAAATTCAATTGTTGAATAGTTATATCAACTAAGTGATTCAATTCAAGTACAACATCACGTGGATCTCAATCTAGATGTGAAAAATAATGATAAAAAGGTTCATTTTATCATTAAATATAAGTTCAGCTGTTTATTTATCTACTTTATTCTTGGAATTCCAAGGGTTAATATTCAGAATGGGTTTTGTGGAGAATTTTAGAATTTTCAGTTTTTTGAAATCATGAGTCAGTTGAAGCTAGACCACCATTGAAAACCTGGAAGCACTGGACGGCCGTCCAGTGCTTCCAGGTTTTCAATGGTTAATATTCAATTTGTTTTGAAACATTTGTGACATACTCTAAAGAATATTTTATGAATCAAATTTCTATTACGTTAATTAATCATGTTTTTAATTTACTGAGCTGGTGTAAATTAGTTACTACATAAAGTTAATAAGGTAAGACTATAATTTATGGACGAACCAATCACGTATAAGATAACAGGTCTCGAAATTCACTCATTTATTTTGATAAATAGAGTTTGGCATTATAGCTGATATCAGTTCGTGATGAAAACCCTAAATCTTATTTATAACCATAACCGTCAACTATAAGTCATAATTATAATTCCTCACACAGGTTTATAACCCTCATTTGGTCCTGGTCATTAAGTGGACACTCTCAATGTCAGTCTAGCGTCGCTCAAAGGTCGTCTATAAATTATAGACTCATCATTAATAATTGTAATACGTGATGTAGCTTGAATGTACCAGTCTATATATATATATATATATATATATATATATATATATATATATATATATATATATATATATATATATATATATATATATATATATATATATATATATATATTACATTTGTGGAATATGTTAACTCACAAGAAAGTGGCTTACTGTAGTAGAATGATAAGTTCTTATCAGTTAAGTAAACGTCTAAAATCATTTCTCTAAACATCATTGACACACCACATTAATTGATAAAGTGAAAATTTTCCTTTAGAAATTAAATCAATGTTCATCAACTATATAAATTTGTAATACTACTTCTAAAAGGCTGACTTCAGTTTGATTTTGTAATAAACATCTAAGTTAGGATCACACATTGAAATAATCATCTAAAATTTATTCTTTGATTCTATTTTAACACGAAATTAAGAGTTTTCGTACACTTGTAGATTCAGATAGATATTCATCAATGTGATAACTGATCACTAATAAACAGGCCTGACTGATTGATCAGTATAAAGAACACAATTCTACGGATAGTAGCCACGTCCTTTGAATAGCTCAGGGATATAATATCTAACTATGGTTACTTACTTACCCCTGTTACTCCTCGTGAAGGAGCATAGGCCGCTCACCAGCATTCTTCATCCAACCCCGTCCTGGGCAGTCCTGTCCAGCTCCTTCCAGTTGTTATTCATCCTTTTCATATCTGATTCTATTATCCTACGTAATCTGTTCTTTGGCCTTCCTCTTTTCCGCTTCCCTTCAGGGTTCCAAGTTAGGGCTTGCCTCGTGATGCAGTTTGACGATTTGCGTAATGTATGTCCTATCCATTTCCATCGTCTTTTCCTAATTTCTTCTTCAGCTGGAAGTTGGTTTGTTCTCTCCCACAGAAGGCTATTGCTGATGGTATCCGGCCAGTGGATGTTGAGTGTCTTGCGTAGGCAGCTATTTATAAATACTTGTACTTTCTCGATGATGGTTGTTGTAGTTTTCGAAGTTTAAGCTCCGTATAGTAGAACTGCCTTGACGTTCGTATTGAAGATTCTCACTTTGATATTGGTTGAAAGTTGTTTTGAGTTCCATATGTTCTTCAATTGTAGGAATGCGACCCTTGCTTTGCCGATCCTCGCCTTTACGTCTGCATCTGAACCTCCTTGTTCATCGATGATGCTTCCTAGGTATGTGAAGGACTCTACATCTTCCAGAGTTTCGCCATCAAGAGTGATTGGATTGCTGTTCTCCGCTTTGAATTTGAGGACCTTGGTTTTCCCTTTGTGTATGCTGAGGCCTACTGATGCAGAGACTGCTGCTACACTGGCTGTCTTCATCTGCATCTGTTCGTGTGTACGTGATAGGAGGGCTAGGTCATCTGCGAAGTCCAAATCGTCTAATTGATTCTCAGCAGTCCATTGTATGCCGTGTTTTCCTTCAGATGTCGAGGTCTTCATAATCCAGTCGACCACCAGAAGAAAGAGGAAGGGAGAGAGTAAACAGCCTTGTCTGACTCCGGTCCTTACTTGGAATGCATCTGTCAGCTGTCCTCCATGCACTACTTTGCACTGTAGTCCGTCGTATGAGTTCCGGATAATGTTGACAATCTTCTCAGGAACTCCGTAGTGTCGAAGAAGTTTCCATAATGTCCTCCTATCTACACTGTCGAATGCCTTTTCATAATCAATGAAGTTGATGTATAGTGATGAGTTCCACTCAACTGATTGTTCGACGATGATCCGTAGTGTTGCAATTTGGTCTGTGCACGACCGATCCTTACGGAATCCAGCTTGTTGATCTCGAAGTTGGGCGTCTACTGCATCCTTCATCCGGTTCAGCAACACTCTGTTGAAGACTTTCCCTGGTATTGACAGTAGTGTAATGCCTCTGTAGTTTTCACATTTGCTCAGATCTCCTTTCTTTGGAATCTTGACGAGGTGTCCTTCTTTCCAGTCCATCGGCACTTGTTCCTCCTCCCAAATCTTTTTGAATAGAAGGTAAGCATGCTTGTGGTTGCTTCGATGTCTGATTTCAGTGCTTCAGCTGGTATGTTGTCGGGTCCTGCTGCTTTCCCGTTCTTGATTTGTCTGACGGCCATTCTAATTTCTTCCGTCGTTGGTGGGTTGACATCTATAGGAAGATCTATGTGTGCTGCTTCGATGTCCGGTGGATTCATTGGAGCCGGCCTATTCAGGAGTTCCTCGAAGTATTCTACCCATCTGTTACGCTGTTGTTGAATTTCGGTGATTGGCTTGCCTTCTTTGTCTTTGACCGGCCTCTCTGGTTTACTGTATTTCCCTGCTAGTTTCTTCGTTGTATCGTGAAGCTGTTTCATATTTCCTTCTCTAGCAGCTTTTTCTGCCGTCGTTGCTAGTTCTTCCACGTATTTCTTCTTGTCGGCTCTAATGCTCCTCTTCACTTGTTTGTTTGCTTCTATGTATTCAGCTTGTGCTTGACTTTCTCTGCTCGTGTTCGGCTGTTGTTAATTGCTGCCTTCTTGTTCTTCCTTTCTTTGATCTTGTCCAGTGTTTCTATAGAGATCCATTCCTTATGATGGTGTTTCTTTAGGCCCAGAACCTCTTGACACGTTGAAGTTAATGCTTCCTTGATGCCTTTCCAGTTGTCCTCCATACTAGTTTCTTCTTCTTTCAGTAGATCTTGTAAGGCTTGGAACCTGTTGTTGAGAGCTATCTTGAATTCATTGAGTTTTTCAGTATCTCGAAGGAAGGCTGTATTGAACCTTTGTAGTGTTGTTTGTCCAGTTGTCCAGTTCTTCTCTAGCTTCAGTTTTCAATTGGCTACAACTAGATGGTGATCTGAAGCTATGTCAGCTCCTCTTCTGGTTCTCTGTAGTGTGGTCTGGTGAGATCCATGTAGCCTTGTGTATACGCTTGTGTGAAAATATTGTGCCCTCTATGACCAATTTGTTGAATGCACATAGATTTGCAAATCTTTCTCCATTTTCGTTTCTCTGTCCGAGTCCATGTCGTCCCATAATATCTTCATATCCGGTGTTGTCTATTCCGACTTTGGCATTTAGATCTCCCATCAGAATGGTTAGGTCCTTTCTTGGGCATTTCTCTATGATTGACTGCAGCCGCTCGTAGAATTGATCTTTAATGTCGTCGTTGCTATCATTGGTGGATGCATAACATTGGATAATATTCATTGTGATCGCTTCCTTCTTTGTTTTGAATGATGCTTTGATGATTCTGGATCCGTGAGATTCCCATCCTACAAGTGCACTTCTTGCTACTTTGGACAGCATTAGAGCGATTCCCTGAGTGTGTGGAGCATTTACCCCTTCTTGGCCGGAGTATAGCAGCATCTCTCCCGTATTTAGTCTTTGTTGTCCAGCTTGGGTCCAATAGGTTTCGCTGATTCCCAGTACTGTCAAGTTGTATCTCCTCATTTATGTTTCAATATTTCAGGAAATATCAGTTCCTCTTGAGCTTGCAGATACATCTTGTTATGATTATCAAACAGAGCAGACATCTGATTCAAGAAATTCTCTCGATTATTATAAACAAATTTGCTTTACTTCCAAACATTCTACATGTTTTATGCACAACAGAAACATTATTTATGGGAAATAATTAGAGCAAAGTGGATCAGTTTTAGGTTATATATGTTTACATATAAACAAAGTTAATTATTTATAATAACCGTTCTCCGACCATTCGAAATATATAAGATGACAAGTCAGTATTCAATAAAAGTCTATCAATTTTCATTTCAGTTGACCGTTTTTGTTTTAATTAATTCGGAATATTTTCTTTTAAATTACGATTCGGTAATTCAGCATGTTGCTAAGTGATTGAAATACAATAGAATTTGCTTGAACTAGAATTTAGACACAATGAATTTTTATATCATAGAAACATACCATTTAAACAAATTCAATCTTCCATTCATTCATTAACTCTTGAAATAGTTTTTTTAATCTGACGATAAATATTAAAGTCTATTCATTTAATTTTTCCACAACACCAATTCCTCATTGGTTTATTAATATGAATGATAATATTGACGTTAAATTTGACTTTTTCATGTCCACTAACCAGTTAATTGTGATTATCATTTTATTTGATACATGTACTTTGATATGATTTTCGTTAAGGGCCTGTATTTTAGGTAGAGTTCAAATTTTGTATCATTACTTTGCAAGTAAATGAAAAAAAAACAACTTAGGTTTAAAACAAGGCTATTACCAGGTAAA